ACTGTTTCGCAAAAGATCTCATTCTTATTCATATTCCTCAAAAAATGGCATCAGCTAAAGCCCACCTATGTAAGAATTTTTATGCTATAATGCAGCTGGGGATTACCACAAGGAAGAGCTCTCCACATTGCGAAATTGTTAACACACTGCAAAGTCTAGGCGAACAGGAGCAAAACTTTCTGCTCACTTTCTACTCTCATAGTTAACGTAGATGACAATAATGAGCCGTGAGTGTTGTCAGAATTGAAGATGCTTACATGTGTAATGGTTTCAGAAAGTTGTTCTTTGCCGGCGGATGCAGTTGAATAGAAAGAGTACACCCACCCTAGTCCATGATGCTAAAAGAACACCCTTTTCACTGACAATGAAAATCAGAATGACCCCCTTTTCATTGACATCGATCGGTCTTCTGGATGAAATTAGTACCCTTTTTTAGATACCCTGATCTCAGAAATACATTATATATATAAAATTATATATATCATAGATTGAAGAAAGTAAAACTACATGGTTTATCTCTTCAAGCCTGTTTCGTGAGTAACTCACTCTTCAGGAGATGTTGAGTATATCAACATCTCCTGAAATTCATATAATATATTCATGGTGTGATCAAACATAAGTATTAAACCCATCTATTTTAACAAATATTCACAGTTTGAATAAATTATCATGCTATGGAATGCAACATCACTATTGATCAACTTTAATGGTTTGAAGTAATATGAGAAATTCACCCTGTATCTAGAAAAACAAAACTTTAAATAACCAATTGGTGAAGGGGGTTTCTTGATGTTCAGGGTCTTATAGATATTATACATTGCTTGTGAAAAGGCTGGCTATAACATATATATTTGGATGTCTAATGCAAACATCTAGGGCAGAAAAGTTCAGTAACTTGAAAAAGTTATGGCACCCCTAACCAATTTTACCCTTGAACACATCGCATTTGTCTATGTTTCTAGGCGAAAACACAAAAGCACTACAGTGTATAACACTCATCATTCTAGTTGACGCCAAATTCTTAGGTAGAATAGGCCTAATTGGCGCTTAACCTACACTTGGCCTATACCTTAAACATTTAAGCCTTCCTTGCACAACCTTGGTTGACCTCTAAAAACATACATGAATTTTACATTAACATCCATTCCATGAAAATACGAAACATTATCATTACGTTTAACTAGCGAGCCAGCGTCTTCAAAATATTGAGCACTTTTTCGGATGCACCCACACAAGCACAATCCAAAGAAAGCTCCTTCCTAGCATCAACGCTTATCTCGCAAGAAAAGGCCCCATTTCTTTGTAACTCAGGGGTGCTATGGGGGAGGACATATCTACTATTTTCACTATGACAATTCTGTTTGCGTATTTATTCATAAATCCTTACCATGGCTTTTTCCAGCAACATCATAACTTCGTAAAAGCTTAATCTGCAGAAACTTATTTGTGAAAAATGCAACTGCCGTTTGAGGTAAATTATCAAAAAGTATGATTTTCAAATCATGGTCCCTTTTCCCGTGTAAAACCTGGTATCTGAAATCTAAAAATCTACTCTGCTGATCTCAAAGACATATTCTTTTTGCATCAGTCAGATTTTTCTCTGGACCAAGGCCTTAGCTGTGTCATAATTAACTATGGTGGACCATCCTTATGCTGAAGTCATGGAATGCAAAAAACTTGGTCCTTGCTTAAAAAAAATACAAGTCTGCTTCTACTAGAAATTGAGCCAAGAACAATTGCTGAATTTCTGCACCTAAGTTACAACATTTGCTTCGGGTATACTATTATGGCTGCCAAATATTTAATCATCACATTGGTTCTGGAAAATGTGGTATAATAAAATGGTCTTCAGAACAAAATGAAGAGGTATAACAAATTTGTCTAGTTGATGTCCCTCAGAGTGGAAAATCCAGGCTACTAGCAACTTCTGTAGCAACTTCATTGGGGATTTTTAATCAGTAGACATTATGAAGGGAAATATCACATGACTGTCTAAGGCACAATATTATAATATGCAAGTTTTCTTAAAACTGTGCATAAATAAGCTTGTACAGTAAAGCTTATTTCAACAAACAGTTTTATGTAGTTATTCGCCTTTCCAGTTTGCTACTTTTATTACTTTTATAACAAGTACTTTTATTCTTCCTGGATATTACTCATTAAACTATTATTTTACATATTTTATAGTTGTTCAGTTACTTTGTGATTTTAGAATTTGTCTAAATTTGCCTGTCTTTCAGGATTCTAGGACCTAGGATTCTGCTCATTTAATGCCCATTCTCAGTGAATATACGGACACGGGTGGTGTAACTTTTTGCATAAGACTGCACCCGCCGGGCAAATCATAGGCAAGGTTTGCGCTCAGGTCTACCGCATGCCCTGGTCCGTAAATTCTGACTATACTGGAAAGCCTTTTGACTTGAATTACGGAATATGGATCATGACAAATAGACTTTGACCCCACTGTGACGGAACTTTTTCTACTGTTAACAGTCACAAAGTAAAGAGTGGAAACTAATTAGATTTAAAATGATGTATCACGCAAAGAATATTTGCAACAAGCAGTTTATAGGCAGAAAAATGTTGGATTATCAAATATTTGGGAATGCTTGCGCTAAGGTTGACCGCAAGCTCCAGTCTGGAAAATTTTCACTTCTTTTATATGCTATCTCGAGCTGCACTGAAGCTGCACTGGAGCATCGCATGTTAGACAGGCAAAAAGAGTGATGTGTAAGAAGGAAGAACCGCAGGATAGGCTGTCCGCCAGATTCTGTGAAACTTGCAATGAGTGATGTTACGAAAGATATTCAGGAACAAAGCAATATGAAGACGAGAATCCAATGTCACAAGATAAAATTTTCAAAATAAATTAAATTTAAGGAATATACTAATATTTTGCCCCGGCATACACATACAGGGCTTCATCAGAGTAAATGAAACGAACGAGTGAATGAATTTGAAATGTGAGATGGTGATGCCGGATTGGTGGATGTTGAATTGTGTGAATGCAGCGCAGTGGAGAAAAAATGGGATGATGGAAGTGGGGGAGGGAAGGGTGGCGGGTGATGTAAGGGGATGTGGGTGGTGCTATGGAGATTGATGCAATGGGATGATAATGATGACTATGAATATGAATATAAAAAAACAAAAATAATAATAATAATTATGATTGAACTAAGAATAATGGAATGATGATGACAGTAATGGTGGTGATGATGATTATAATGGTAGGGAAAAAATGATGAGGGCGGCGTGATAGGTGATAAGTTGTTTTGTAAAGTTAACGGCCTATGGTTCTGTTCATGCCGTTGGGGGTGAGGGTGTTCGCCAGGCCAATGAGATATTGCTCCTTAGCTCGACAAACACTCTCTCGTTTGTCATTAAGTTTTAGTAGTGGTGTGATGGCAAGGTCGTTGATGGTGTGATGGTGTGGGCTGCAGAAATGTTCTGCAACTCCAGACTTGTCTTCTTTTTTGTTGATAATGTCCCGTCGGTGTTCATTAAATCTGTCTTTAAGTCGTCTGCTAGTTTGTCCGATGTATTGGCATTTTTTGTTTCCTTTATGTAGACAGCGGTTGCATTGTAGTGCGTATATGACGTTGGTGGAGTTGCAGTCCAGTCGTTGTTTTATGTCGTAGTTTTTGTTAGTGTTAAAAAAATTAAAAATTGTAGTCCCGTCTGTGATATGTTGACATTTTAAACAGTTCCGTCGCGAGTAGCATTTGTAAGAACATATGGGATCACTGGGTTTGGCAATTTTTAATTTGGCACGAACCAGTAAATCCCGGAGGTTTTTCGGTCTGCGGTAACTAGGTATGGGTGCGTCGGGGAAGGCTTCTTTACATGTGTTAAAGTTTGTAGTATGTCAAGGTTTTTT